TCCCCATGACCCTCCAGTGCACAGACTGAACCCCGCTTGTCTAAACCTCTGTCACGGCCTGCAGATGCAGTTGGACCTTCTCAATGGATGCAGCAGAACACAACAAAGAGCTAACAGGAAGATGAATGAGAAAAAGGACAGGGGGAAAAAAAGCTGAAGAACTGGGAGCTGTTCTCACCAGAGCGGAGAGAATAAATGTCCTTGGGAAATCAGATAAAGGAATTATAATCACACTGAGACATTTCCTCCCAGAGCAGCCATAATGGAGGTTGAAATGTGTTGGCCTGTCACACTTTCATTTTAATAAACAAGCGCCCCCTCAGCAGATGCCTCACTGGGGCTTGTGCCAGTCCCCCTCTCCTCCCCAGGGCGCGCTGGTTTAATCAGCAGCAGGGAGAAGTTTAGCACATGCTTTGAAATCCGGACCAGATTCAAAGCTGGGCCTCGAGGGGCTGGGAAGCAGGGAAAAAAAAACACATACCATCCCCACCGCTGCTCCTTCGAGCAATTATCTCTCAACTCTGGCTGAACCGCTGCAAACGTCAGGGCGCCGCGCGCTGCCAATCGGAGGAAAGGTCGCAGGGTCGCGGAGGAGAGGCACAGACCGCGTGCGGACCGAGCGCCACACTGGTGAGTCACACCAGTGGCACCGAGGGGCGTGATGCCAACGCAGGGCTGCCCATGCCAGCGCCAGCCTTCGAACATGAGTCAGGCGACTACGACACACTACAGAGGGAGCGCCTGGCTACAGGGAGACAGCAAAGGATACAGCACAGAACTGGCCTGAAGAGACAGCAGGAATCGCACAATTACCTCCCAGTACTGACACACCAGGCTCCCCAGAAAACGGCACAAAACACATCAGCCTGCCCCCCACCCCCATCAACCCCACCGTCGCTCTCCAGAGGATTCCCCTTTGTGCTTTCCCAACTCTCACTCCACATCCAGGGAAGGCATTTTATTAGGAGGAGTGGGGGAAAAGAGCATGCCGCTGCCTGGCAGCTGCAAGGACTTGGGTAGCTTTCCCTGCAGATCCATGTGCCGGATCTCGTCTCGCGGGGCGGAGGAGCAGTGACGTGTGAAGACAAGGGAGTGGCCAGGGCGATGCTTCTGTCCAGTCCACTGCGCAGCTCTCTCGGTTCCTCTACATTACTCACTTAACCGCACCGCAAAGACATGAATGAGCCAAGGACGCCCCTGCCCTGGGATCGTGAGGCCGCCCCTGTGCCTCGGCGGGCACCTGTGTGAGCGAGAGAAAAGGGCTGCCCGGCCGGCAGACACGCACCTGTTTCATGGCGGTCTCTCCAATCTTGTCCGAGTGCTTGCGGATGCTTTCCAGGAAGTCCTTGAGGTCGGACATGGACACGTCCCTGATCTGCTCGCGCAGGCGGGGGATGTTCTCGGCCATGATGGTGCAGAAGCGGTAATGACTGACCCTCGGCAGGCAGGCGCGCTCCAGCTGCTCCAGGGTGCGCAGGGCAGGATAGTGCCTGGAGCACAGAGGGGCAGGTCAGTTGCCGGAGTGGGGAGGAGCGAGAGAGACAGACAGAGGACAGGAGACACAAGCGGGCAGATGACAGAGGGCTAGGAAACCTAGCCAGGAACAGACATTGCATGATGAGAGCACATATGAAAAGAAAGATGGATGTGACACCTCATGTATCTGGTACCTTTCATTTTGCATTTTTGACCTTTCAGAGTTCCTTCCTGGGTCAAGCTGCTTTTCATTTCAACCAGCAAGCACTTTCAAATAGAAGAGTATTTTCTCACCAGGAACCATACTTTCCAGGAATCTTTATCGCCAAGAAATGTACAGGGGAAGACATTCAGCAACGCACTGAGCATGTCTGCAAGCGGTGTTTCACTGACATCCTTTCCTCCTACTCAACCTGATGAAATCACCTCACATGCACTTTGGGCTAAGAGAGCTTGTTTGAAATTAAGAAATTAAGACATAAGAAACCTCACATTAGAAAACCTAAAAGGCCTAAACTCTCCGAGACAGCACCCGCGCTCTGGGCAGGGAGCCAGCAGACGCAGGAGCGCGCTGTCAGGTCGCTCGGTAACGGAGAGCGATGGAGCCCCTGAGTCAGAGAGGCACGCTCATGTCGGGCCACACTTGGCTGACCCTTCGCACTTGCAATCCTGACTGCGACGCTCAAGCCAGAACAGAATAAAAACAGAGCAAAGCAAATAAATACTGAATTCATCACAATTTATGGGCCACGAGATTAAGTGACTCTAGGGTCAAGTTCGGGACAAGATCTTGGCGAGAAAGCTTTCACACTGAAGCAGCAGATGAAAGCCAGGGGAAGAGTAGGACACCACGACACACAGAGGCCGTTCCAGCTGTGGCTGCAGAGGGCACTGCCCTTCTCTCTGGCACATCTGGACAGAGCTCATCACAGCTGTGGCT